GGAAGAGGCTCTCACCCTCGCCGGTGCTTCCAATGTTGGAGACTTCCTTCCTCCAGTGGTCGGGTGGTTTGCACGACACAGATTGCGGAGTAGAATCACTCATATTCATAATTACAAAGACAATTTTATACAAGCACTTATAGAAGAGCGCAGGCGGAAGATGAAAAAAGAAGAAGCAGGGGAGTTAGAACAGAAAAAAAGGATCAATGAAACAATGATAGACGCTATATTATCACTCCAAAAAACCCATGCTGAACAATACGACGATCATTTCATCAAGTCTCTTGTTACGGTATCTTAAATCTAAATCTAAACCTCTCCATTCTTCTTTTCACTTCCTCCCTGATTAACCCTTTCTCCATCGCACTTGCAGACTTTGTTATCGGCGGGAACAGACACCTCCTCAAACACAATAGAATGGGCGATGTCTCTCCTGCTAAACAATCCAGAGATCCTGGATAAAGTAAGTGCAGAAATTGATGAGAAAGTAGAGAATGGTCGTCTGCTAGATGAATCAGATCTCATCAAACTCCCATATCTTCACTGCGTCATCAACGAGACGCTTCGAATGTATCCTGTAGGTCCTCTTCTTGTACCTCACGAATCGCTGGAAGAATGCAAGGTCGGAGGCTATAATATACCAAAAGGAACCATGCTTTTAGTGAATGCTTATAAGATTCAGAGGGATCCGATGATATGGCCGGAACCCACTCGCTTTCTTCCTGAAAGATTTCTTGAAAAAAATAAAGTGGAGGGGGGGAAGATGATTCCGTTTGGAATGGGGAGAAGAAGATGTCCAGGGGAAGGACTTGCCATGAGAGAGGTTGGTCTGGTTTTGGGTACTTTGATTCAGTGTTTTGAGTGGAGAAGAATTGGAAAGGAGGAGGTGGACATGGAGGAAGGTGCAGGCCTCCTAATGCCTAAAGTCATTCCTCTGGAAGCACTGTGCAAGCCACGCCAAACCATGATTTCTGCTTTGTCTGGGCTTTAAAAATAAATTTATGTCTGAAAATGTCAAAATTTCACATTAAACTTGGACCTCTAATGGTCTGATTAGGAGAGTAGATCTGTTAAATTAAACTTGTGTAAGAAATGCAGAGGTAGACCTCCGAAGACTTAGGCTTATTGTATTAAAATGACCTTTATTTATTAGAACTAAGGTTTTGTTTGGCGCAGCTGCCCCAGGAAGTTGCTGCGGAGAATCGGACTGTTTGTTTGGTGCAGCTGTGTGAAAATAATTGTGGGTCAGCTGTTATTGGAAGAATGACCATGCTACCCCTGTTTGGTAAAACTGTTTAAAAATAAACTGTGATCATGATATTTTTTATACTTCTGAAGCAGAATCAAAGGAGTGTGATAGCTTGTGGCCTAAAACAATAGCTCTGTATTACATTAATATATGATATATTATTAACTATTTGTTTGGGAGAAACATAAATTAATTTTATATATATCTTTTTTTTCTCTTAGAATTCCAACTATCTGTTAGCTTTATTGTTAGCATTTTTAAATACAATAAATTTAATTTCAAGTAAAAAAAAATGAAAATTAAATTTATATGTTTATTTGAAAAAAAAATAATTTTCATCTACTTTAAACTGCACTAAGAAAAAGTGCTTGAAAAATAATTTTAGGAGTTTAAACCTTGGAAAGCAACTCTATCAGAACAAGCAGTGCATCCTTTTATAGTAGAATTGCAAAAGAAATGACAATTGAAACTGAATTTTCCTATATATATTTGCTTATATTATTTTCTTCAAGAGAATCTCTCATAAAAATGCTTAACCCCACTCAAATCCTCATCTATGTACATCTGGAGAAGGTCAGGCTTGATGCTTATGGATTGCATAGTAAATGTGGATGGCTTGGACATGAGGCGAAGTGGGGAAGAAAATAGAGCGGGAAAGTTGTATCGTGAGGGTTCGGCCTCCCAAGTGATGGTTTCGGGTGAAAATGAGAGAGGAGATAGGGACATAGAAGGGGGGTGAAGCAGATTACTCTGAAAGAAGATGAGGCTTCACGCGACAGTGGAAGATGCGTCTCCTTTGGTGACGGTGGAAGAAAGAAGCAGCACATCGCAAGATGATCGGGAGCAGCGGACGGGCGGGAACGCGAGACGAGATGCTAGGGAGGAGCAAAGGGGAAATAGTAGAGCGGAAACGCGAACCGCGTGGTCGATCCCGCGGTAAAAAATACGGCGCGGTCTTGGTCGAAGGCGAGAGGCAAGACGGTGCGAGAAGAAGAACGCTAGGGCAAAGGCGGCAATTTGGAATATTTAGCGGGCGAAAGTTGGGGCCGCAGGGTCGATCCTTCGGCCCGCTTTGACGTCCTTCTTCTACAAAGCCGGGAGCCAAACAATAGCTTCTCGCGATTTGTTGCCGCGCCACGTGAGAAAAGTTGCCCCAAACAGAGCCAAATGAAAATATGACATTAAATAGGATGACATTAAATAGGACGGACGCAATGGAAAAAAAGGATTAATGTAGCCGACCCCACGTAGTGGCATTAAGACTTTGTTGTTGTCGTTGTTGTTATGAAAATGTGTATTTTATTTTTAAATAATAGGTTATAGTACTATTTTTAATATTGTATAAAAAAATTTGAGTGTTTAGATATGTAATTATTAAAGTTTGGATGTTTGATGTGAGAATAAGTAAGAATTGCATGGTATATATTTGACTCACCCGTTTAATTTTTAATTTTTTATATTATTTCGTTTCAGTTCTGACTTAAAATAAAATATATTTGACATATTTTATTAGTATATAAGTATTTTTAAAAATAATTAAAATGTTTAAAAATTATTTTGAGTGTTTTCAAAAATATACTAATTAATTTTAATATATATATATTAATAAAATTAATTAGTATATTTTTGAAAACACTCAAAATAATTTTTAAACATTTTAATTATTTTTAAAAATACTTATATATATATACATATGTGTGTATCTGCGAACGAGCACTTAGGGTGACAAGTTTGTATACAACTGTGTTGCCAGTCATAAGACTCCTCTAACATGGGTTTGATGCTTACGAGGACGGCTAACACATATGGAGAATGGTATTTCCCAATACCACCTTTTTAGTATATATATATATATATATATCCTAAAAGGTGGTATTGATCCAAATAGAAATTTATATTTGACAGAGATCCAAATACTGATTTCCCATGTGTTATAACCCATGATGAAAGTTTGCTCCATGTGCCTAAATATTTGAGAACCTGGCGTCACTGGGATCGAACCCGTGTCCTAAACGCCACCAACCAACTGGCCACGGCTTGTGGCACACCCTTTATATATATATATATATTCTATTTTCTAATTTTATTTAATAAGGATTAAATTTTGATTTAAAATAAACATATTTGATTAAACTAGTCATTTTAAAAAATACTCAAAATAGCTTTTAAATGATTGTAGTACTTTTTAAAATAATTCAATTTATTCTTTAAAATAAAAATATAAAATTATAAAAAAAATATTCTAATCAAATTTATTAGACATTCAAATTCTAAACGTAATATTTTCTTCGATACATTTGTAATAAACTCCACGGTACAAGTTACCATATGTTGGTCCTGTGGTACAACATAAAGGGGTAAACCAATGTGATTTAGGGCCCGTTTGGTTCGACTTTTTTGGTGTGGCGCTGTGTACGACAACTGCTTCATCCCGCAGTCGTTCATTTGGTTCGTAGCTTTGCAGCGAAACTTTCACAAAGCTTAGAGAAAGCCGGTCGCGGCATTAACCTCGCGGCCCCGCTTTCGCCCTGAAAATTTGTCCCGCTTTATCCACTTTACCCCTTTCGTTTCTCTTCTACCCTAATTGCTTCCCTCGTGGCTCTCCTTTGTCGTCTTACTTGGTAGCCCCTCGATCGACAGATCTAAGGTATAACGAGCAATTTTCTTCTTCTAATCGCAGATATGAGGAAGCTTATGGGTTTTTTCGAATGTGATGTTTTCTTCTTCTTATCTCCTTCCTATTTCTGCGATTTTTTGTTTATTCCTTCTCAAGATGCGGTGGATATGTACATTAGCGCATGCAACCTGTTTGTTTTTTACCGGTTGCTTCACTAGGGTTTTGCCTTTTCTTTCCCTTCCCGTTTGAGCAATTCTTATTTATTTCATCTAAGGCAGTGGTTGATTCACTGATGTTTTGCTCTGAGACATTACATTTGTGGAAGTTATGAGGAAAAGGCACTGACTTTGTGGGCAATTGATGCCAAGCAATTGGTGCCAGGTTAACATGGGCATTTCCTTGCAATAAACTTCTTGTTTATGGAGTCACATGCCACTCGATTTAAGATTTCTGTTATGTTTTACAGTAATCCAAAAAAAATAGATGTCTTCAATAACCTCACATATGTTTCTCTGCCATGGACAGTGCATGAACAACAAACAAATCTTTTTTTAAGCTTAGAAAAATTTTAGTAAGTGTTTCAAAGTAAAACATTGATCCTGTCTTTTACTGGTTAAAAGAATGGAATGTATATTTTTTTAGCTATGAAACATAAGAATTGAGTGAAACGGATTGAGGCATAAGAATTGAGTAGCATGCATGAAAATTTTCCTTCCTTTTTAAATATGTTGGAGCATAGGCCAAATAGTGAAACGGATTGGGGCATAGCCTAGTTAAAACATAGCTGTTAAATATTGCTGGTGTGTTTTCTAATTTTGTGGTGGTTTTAAATATGTTGAATCCTTTTATATATTGTAGACATGATTTAAGTTGAGCATATGTACAACAGAGGAGTCTTTGTTGATATGATTCAAAAATTTCAGCTAGTATTTCAATAAAATATTGCATTAGTTTCCCGTGAACGTAGGTCAGTTGACTGAACCACGTAAATTCCTGTGTTCTTTTATATTTACATTTCTTGTTTGGTTTATTGCTTGCAACATGTTTATATTCATTCTTTCATTCGTTTAGCAATGTTTAAATTTATTATATTAATTCATGTTAAATGTTACTTTTTGGTGGTATTATTAGCATGGCTAATAAAAACAAAAAGGTTGTCACTCCTGCACTTTGGGAGAATGACACCAAATTAATATTCTCTGACCTATGTATATATGAAATTGATAAGGGAAATAGGCCAACAACATTTTTCAATAAGGAAAGTTTGGAAGGTTGGGATAACATCGTTAGCACATTCAAGAAGATGACAGGTATGGAATATGATAGACTCCAATTGAAGAATAAATAGGATCAGCTTAAGAAATATTGGAAACTGTGGAGTGATTTGAAGGGGATAATATGAAGGGATCCGATGAATAGAATAATTGAGGCGTCATAGGAGTGGTGGCAAGAAAGGCTTACAGTAAGATATTATTGAGTACTTCTTTTTAATTTTAATAAGTTCTATTTTTGATTTCTAATAACCTTTCATTCTCTTTTACAGATTGTTTCTACGGCGGCAAAGAAGAAGAAGTTCAGATTGGTTGGGATTGAACCAGAATTGGAGGGCAAGTTACAAATGATGTTTGGTGAGGTGGTAGCTACAGGGAATATTTTCAGCTGCCCTAGCCAAACAGTTTTTGAAACAAACCTCGAGAATGTGGTCGTGGAATTATCAAATGATTCTACAGAATTCCGCAGTGTTGAGCCACATAAAATTCAATCCACCAACCATGTGAAGCGCCCCCGGAACGAAAGCAAGAGAAAGAGTGGACCTGTATCTATGAGGGAGCAGCTCTCATACCTAGTGGACTCATCTAATGATGCCCCTCACAGAGTTCAAAAAACCTCGGTTCATGAGGTCATTGGACTTCTTGAAGAAGATCCAGAATTTACAGGGGATCGTGATTTTTTTCTACTTTGTTGTAGACCTCTTTCATGATTCCCTCAATCGAGACTTCTTCACAGCACTAAGCAAAGAGCGATGACTGGAATGCATACTCTATTATTATAACCGTCGTGACTTGTCAAGTTGACCTCCTCATTAGTTGACATTGTGGTTGTTTGTGATTTGATACTAGACTGATGCACTTCATTCCATATATGATTACTCCTGAATGTATACTTTTTCATTTGTGGTTGTTCGTCATTTTTATGAAACTGATTTACTTCATTCCAAAGGATGTTTAAGTTATTTGTTTTCCAAATATAGTTCATATGTGTGGTTGTTTTATTCCATCTATGAGCTTAACTATATTTAAGTATAATGTATAGTTCATACCGTCATGGACCTAGAGGAAGTCCGACGCCGATGGCGAAATGCAGTCATAAATAAACTAGTGCATTACTATAATACGTATGTCGACCGTGAGCCGTGCTACACATCATCTCAGATTGGAGACAAATGGATAAGAGAAATGATTTTAGGGCACCCAACGAGATTTCGAAACATCTTCTGCATGTCCCAAGGTGTTTTCAGTGATCTATTATTAGATCTAAAAACTTCTCATGGACTTCACGGATCTTCTAGGACAACAGACCGTGAAGTATTGGGCATAACACTTTATATTTTATCACAGAACGAGTCAATGTGGGGAGTCATTGAACGCTTCCAACACTCATCTGAAACAATAAGTAGATATTTCTCAGTTGGTTTGAGTTCTCTTGTCAGTCTAGCACAAGCCATAACAAAACCCACAGATCCAACATTTGCAAGAACGCCAGTAGAGATCCGCAACGATGCCTGATACATGTCATATTTCAAGGTAGACATTCATACTTCAAATAAATATATTGGATTGTATATTGAAATGATTCCACTTATTCGTAAAGGGTTGCATCGGCGCAATCGATTGAACACACGTTCATGCTAGGGTGTCGGATAACGAGAATGTTGCATTTATCAGTCGTTCTGGAACCACAACTCAAAATATCATGACAGTATGTGATTTCAACATGTGTTTTACATTTGCATTGGCTGGATGGGAGGGATGGGAGGAGGATGGGAGGACAGCGCACATGATAGTAGAATTTTTAAAATTGCAACGAGAAATCCAGAGTACAATTTTCTTCACCCACCGCATGGTTAGCTCCTTACTAATACAAGTAGATTTTTGTTTTGTATGCTCACCTAAAGTTTATAATTTTGTAGGGAAGTATTATTTGGTGGATGCTAGCTACCCAATGCAGAGGGGGTACCTTAAACCCTATCCTGACACAAGGTATCATGTTCCAGATTTTCAGAGAGCCAAAAATCGTACAAGAACTAGAAAAGAGGTCTTTAATAAAAGACATTCATCCTTGCGAGACGTAATTGAGAGGATTTTTGGAGTTTGGAAGAACAAATGGGTCATACTTCAAGATATGTCACCCTATCCGTTTCCAAAACAGGTGCATATAATGTTAGCCACCCTATGGCCCTTAATAACTATATTAGGCGGCATCCAACTCGAGCTGATGTTGATTTCGAGCGTGTTGATGTCAATGACGAGGAATGACATGTCAATGACGAGGAAGTGCCAGTCGAAGCTTTTGAATACCGCATTGGCCAATCTCTATCACGGGAGGAGAACTAGAATGCCTCAATTTGCACAAAAGATGGGGAGGGTGCGAATGAAATGGCAGCCCATCATGAGGAGATCACCACCTCATTAGTTGGAGAGTGATTATTTGGATTCATATATGTTATAAACATAATATGATTTAATATAATGTTTGTTTTCAAACAAATATTTCAATTTTATTGAGTTTTAATGAGTTTTTTTTTTATTACCTAATATGTTACTAATTATGTTTTATGTTGCATTGCTTTTCAGGATAATATGAGTTCAAGGATGTCTCCTACCTCCCGACGAGTGGTTTGTCATTGTGGCCTGCAAACCCCACTTTTGACCTCACGACAGGCACACAGCTACGGTAGGAATGCTATGGTATGAAGTTTTATACATGCCCCTGAAGCATTGTCGATCAATGCAGATTTTTCCGATGGGCGGACAGTTTCTCTGATGCTGAGGATGATGCTGGCAGCGATTTGCGAGTTTCAGATGACAAAGGGTAGACACGGAAGCTACAGCGTGTCATTGTTAGAAATAACATTACCATTATGCTACTCGTTGTGGTCATACCATACTTTTACAGTTTTTTTTTTCATTTTGCTTCTCCTAGCTAGTGGTTGAGGTGTATTTATATACTATGGGCTATTTTGGATGTACGAAACTGTATGAGTTCCTATGTTTTTATGTATGAAAACACAACTTCATATGGCTTGAGGTGCTTTTATATATTTTACATTTTATAATTCTATAATATATGTTAAGGACTGTTGTGTCAGTGTCCCCGTGTGCGTGATCGTGCTTCATAGCTTTATAGGGCCTTAAATAGCCTGAAGGAATAATACACAAGCGGTGGTTATCGATGTGACTTCCACTGAGGGAATAGCAGAGTTCGTTGGGGAAGTAGAGGCTACTCAGTTGTTGTGATGTAAGATCGACGACAGAGGTCATGTGCCAGAAAAATTGATGCCAGCAATGTTGGTTGTGGCAGCCCGACCACAATAGTTTAACGACAATGGTCGGGTAGTAATGGTTTGGCGATGGGGGCTACTTGACAGTACTGGCTCGGCAATGGCAACAACGGTGGTTTAACTGCGACAATAATGGTGATCGAGCGATGTTTCGTCGATGGTGGCAGCCTGGCGACGGTGGTCTGGCAGCGACTACAAGGTGGTCAAGCAATGATGGTCTGATGATAGTGGTGACCTGACAGCAGTGGTCCACGACAATGGTCTGTCGATGACGATGGTAGTATTTGGGTAGCAGTGGTTCAACAATTGAGGCGACCCGACTGCGGTGGTCCAAAAATGACATTGGTAGTGGTCGAGCAATGGTGGTTCGATGATGGTGACGACCCAACGACAGTGCTCTGAGGTGGTGGAGCTCAGGAACCCTAGAAAATTTGGAGCGCCTCAGTCTCTTCCTCCCCCCCTCTTCATGATGGGAGTGAGGCGCTATTTATAGATTTTGAGAATGTCATCCATAAATATTGTTAGACTCTAGATTACTCCATCGGACGACCCAAAATATTTGATCGAACGATATTTTAAGCGTATTTGAGTTACATAGTGATATCAGAATTAAGCGATATTAGACTTGTTGGATTCTCCTCATTGGGACACTCGATTTTACTATAAATTTGTCAGATTTGGAGATCATTTTGTCCCCTAAAATATGTCTCAAATATTCTTACTATATTCCAAGTGCATGATCTGGGATCACTTGGACCCTGATCGAGCTATGTTTGATATCAAACCCCAGATTGAGCTATGTTTGATATCAATCGACTCATCTATTTAGACACTTCATTTGAATTGGATTAGAGATTATTAAATATTTTAGAGTTGTTTGTCTCAACTTGCATCGAGTCTTTCTGCGTGATTAAGATAATTTTCTTAGAACATATCAAGAATAAAAACCAATAATAATTAAAATGAAATAGAATCCCGGAAAAGATGAGGAAATTGATCTCTACATAAGATCATGACAATTTAACAAGGGTAGCCCATCTGCTTTCAATTTATTGATCACTAAGAACTGTTCCAAAGAAATTTATTGCCAATGATATTCCTTGTCAAGAAGTTTATGGAGTGAACTTTGAAAACAGTTGGACATGCTATTAGCTTTTAGCGGTATATCTTGTCAATACTGCTCCTGTATATGACCATGAAATTTACTGCTTTTTTACTGCGAAGAATGAAATCAATCCGCATTTTTATCATAATACTGTTTGTTTCTTGGAATTTTGATAAAAATAAGCTTTTCTCTGCGCCTCTAAGGAAATCTTCTGTCCTCTTCATGCTTAATTTAATTCGCTTTATGAGCCATTTTCTACGCCCTATCAGTGTAGCTTCTATGATGGTTCAATTTTGAGACAAAATGTTTTCTACCTTTACTTTGCTTGTTTGAGTTTTCATGCAAGTTTATCAATTTTTATTTTCATTCTTAACTAGACTTTTGTGTGTGCGGTTATCTTGGGCCTCTTATTGGTGTTTTTGTTTAACTTCTCACAGTCGGCAGATATGATTTGCTAGTAAAGATTTGGAACTGCATACAAAATATATTCTTGGCGGGCCTGAATCAATCTTTGATGTTGATCAAGGAGTAGGAAGGAAAACACAAGTTATTCCTCCCTTGTTAGAGGACAGATTTCCTTGCAGTTTCAGTCATATATTTGGAGGTTTTCCTTATTATTTTCTTCATTAGTTTTTTTTTTTTTTAGTGTTTTCTTTTTGCTAATCCAAAATTTATTGTGCTTAATTTTGTTATGGGTGCCTTGTAGGTGGATATGCAGCTGGATACTACAGTTACAAGGTATGGAGCCTCGAGCCTTGATTTTTCCTCTTTGCTCTTGTCATTCATTCTCAAGTCATGGCTATTGGAAAAGTGTTCTTGGGCACTCAAGTATAATTTATTTTAATTTTAGTGCCAAAATGGAAGATTTCTTATATTGTAATTTGTGAAGTCATGTGCTTTTAGCATTATCTTGATACTCACAATTTCAATCTCTTGGTCAATCATGTCAATTAGGGAAGCTTCAAAATAGGAGATGGTTTCCGGAGTAGCATGTCAAATAAATGTACTTACCTATAACTAAATCAATTTGGCAATTACAATTTATTGATAATATAACTAAATCAATTTGGCAATTACAATTTATTGATAATATTATTGATGATGCTATGAGTATGTTGATATATTAAGTTTTCAGGCTTTATCCAAGTGCTATATTTTTATCTTATTTGTTAAAAACTTATGTATCATATAGTTAAATATGCGGCACCGCTCTAGGGCTCCAACAAAATGAAAGAGGTTTGACGCACTAGCCGGTGTTTTAGAGGGGTAAGGTGAGAGGATTATGTTTGAACGACGAGGTTTTGAAAGGGAGAAGTACGATTCAGCTGCTTTTCAGGGAGGAGACAGTGGAGAAGTAGTTGTAGTTGTGTTCTTGTCGATGAGACAAACATTGAGGACATTCCACCATTTGCACTCTAACAAGATACAACTACCCTACTTGCAAAAGCAAGGATACAATGCTTCTAAAGGTGAAAAATCTTGAAGTAACACAATAGAAGTAACACAATAACAGACAAGTTGTCTCCACCAGTCCAAAGCAAGCAATATATAATAAGAAGCCCTAAAGGACTGGCTGGCCCAGTATGGTTGGGAAAAACCTGAACCAAACCGACCTAGATTATGCAGAACAGTCCTAGGATGGACATCTTGGGTTCACTCCTGCTGGAACAGAAAATGTTGCTCCCGCTTCACTCCTTGTGCAGTAGGGGCTTTGCTTTCACCAGCGGAATCACTTAAATCATCATAGCATGTCGAAAAAATCAGCAACATTTGAAGAATAGCAGAAATATTTTAATCTCCCGATAGATGAATTTTGCAAGCATTGTCACTAATCCTCTCGTCAACTCTGAAGGGATCATCAGTTCTAAGCTTGATCTTTCCAAATGAACCTGCAGAATATCGCTCCATATTTAGCCTTACACCAATTCAGCTTACTCGAAGACCATTGCTTTCCTGGACTTGTTAATGTGCTTTTAATACTTGGTTTTACTTGATAATTTCTTACTTCAATAGAGGCTATTTTAAAATCACTTTTAAATGTATTTTTTGCAATTTATTTGAACTAGGGGAATAAATAAATTAAAATCATCAAACAAATTACAAGATATGGTTTAGCCTATTCGAGTCCACCTATTGGGAGGAAGATGTCATGGGCATGAGAAATGTTGTAAAAAAGAGAAGGCAAGGAGGGGGGCATTGAAGAGTGTTACATGCTCTTGAGACGGCATCTATGCGTTTTAGGGGTGTACATCTGGTAGAAACACAGCTCGTTGCACCTGTCTCTTGCCCTTTTTTTTCATTTCTTTCTACATTTCAAGGGTTGCTTGCCTTTTTTTGCCTGAGGTCAAGCTTTAAAAATACCTTTTGATGCACAAATACAAGGATAAGCAATTTCTAATATAGCCGGCGGGAAAACAACTGAGGATCATGGATAAATATTGTAGCAACTACTAGAAGGTAAAAAATTACTAACCAAATATAGGAAAACTGAAGAAATCGCTGGTTCTACCTGTCTCTGAATTCAGAGGGACCACTGGTTCTTACCAAGATGGACGGGGGAGGAAGAGTATGCGGTCGAGAGAGCTATTGGGTGATTTATTTATTTATTTATTTATTTTCCTTGGGGAGTTCTCCAGTGTAGAATGTGTCTGTATGGTTCCTAGCCAAATAGTGACATTTTTTCTATGGCTCGTTTAGCTTCTTGCAAGTTAAAGGAATGTTTGAGAATTGGATGTAATTAGAAGAAAGCATAGTTTATACCCCAAAAAACTCCTATCATCTAAGGTTTCAATTGTTGATTACAAAATGAGTGAAATTGAAACCATGATTGAAGATTTTGCAATAAGGCCCCTGAGGGCTTGACCCGCCCAACTAATGTAGGCAAGGTTGTAACAGCCTTTCTTCAGTTTTCTAACACTTTTTGGGCTTCAAAGTCAAAAAACTCTGGCATCTGCTAACTATGCTATGGCGAGTTTCAACTGATCTGTGCCCAGCTCTCATTAGGTTATGGTGATTACCAATTTAGTTTCAAGGACTGATAGTTGGGCTCTGGCCAAAAAAAAGGAAAGGAGTTCAGAGCAGATATGCATCCGCTTAAGCAATGGATTGAAATTTATTGTTAAAACTGCAGCCGAACCAGTAGTTTTTCAATTTTTTCATTCAGAAGTAAGATTTGCAAATTTCGTTATAATTTTAATCTTCATTCAACCAAATGAGACCTTATTACAAATATGACAAGATTTCAATTTATCATTACTAATTCGGTAGGCGAACATTTTCCCTGATGTTTCATTGATCATTGCCTGCTTGTTTTAGAAATGCCTTTAAAAGTTTTCTTATGGGCTTTCTTCTGCTATCTATTTATTGGAAAATAAGAAGATATATATACATTGAACTTGCAGTGGGCTGAGGTGCTGTCTGCAGATGCTTTTTCGGCATTTGAGGATGCTGGGTTGGACGACGACAAGGTAATAATTTCTCTGTTTATATGTGTCCAATTATTAACTCATATGGCATACCTATAGCTAATTGATAAGTTCTCTAATTGATAGGTTCGAAAGGTCTTGATTTCATAATTTAGTCTTTTAAATAACCTCAAGACATTTCCTTGTTAATGAATTGAAATGATCTTGGTTTGGTTGGAGATCTCACTTCTCTACTTGTATTTAGTTTTCAAAGATTTTGTTGTGGTTTGATTCCTGTATTTCTGGTTGATAAATCTTGCTATTGTTTCTAAATTAGAGCTTTGGATTGTATTCATTGGTTCTTAAGTTCTCTTTTGTTTTCAGCGTAATGGGTCGAAAGTAGAAGAAATACATGTAAAATGGTTTTATGTCGTAGGTTTACCACAAACTTACTTGATCCACTTCGACTTTCAGCCTAAACTTGTCATTTCTCTGTTGTGACTGAAATTCAGGAAGTTGGATTCCGTTTTAATGTTAATAGCAAAAGTAAACAATAAAAGAACACCTTAATTTTCTTTGCTCAAACTTTTGTTGGTTATAGCACGCCTAGAAGCATTGTTGTTTTTAACGCGTGGTTAGGGTTGTAATCGAGCCGAGTCGAGATAAGTATATCGTAGTTTGGACTTGGTTTGGTATAATTATAAGTTGTTCATGTTCGGCTTGAGCTTTTACATATTATTTAAGCTTGACTTGTTTAATTTTTTCAATGTTTGAACTTGATTTATTTATGGCAAGTGAGCAAATATTTAAACGAATTAATAAATGAGTTAGAAATTCAAATGAATATCTAAATTTTCATATAAATAATATAATAAATAATTTTACGAATCTAAATAAATAAACAATTAAATAAATCATATAAGCAAATAAACTTACCCACATGTTGTTATCTGTGTCTATAATATATATATTCTCATAAGAATGAGTTCAAAGATAGAAAATAATATTGAAACAAGAGCCAAAAAATCTAAATGAACTAATATTATAAAGTAACTCATAATGTGAAACCATTTATCAATCACAGAAATAATTGAAAAAAATCAAAGACAGTTGGATCAAGCATAATATAAGAGAATGAACAAAAAGTAATGTTCACTTTCGGAATTTTATCATGTTAATTTTTAAATAATGAATAATTAATAATAAAATAAATATATAATTAGTAATTAATCTAAAAATATTTTTAATATGATAATATATTACTATTAAATCTATAATTAAATAAATTCTAGCTAACCAAATTTTATTTAAATAATATATCATATATGATACGAGCTATATTCGGGATGGCAATTAAGCACTTAGTGGTGGTGAAGCTCAACAGCAACTCCATTGATGCAAACCAAATTTTTGATGGGGATAACAATGATTCTATGTTTTGCCAATAACTCGATAAATTGATTGAGAGAGAGAGAGTTCATGATTTAGTTTTGGGGAGGCTCACCATATTTTCCATTTATACTCTAATGTCTCTAAATAGAACTTTTTACAGAAATATAAATCATTTAATGACTCAATGACCTCCTATTAAGTATATCATAACCTTAAATCATACTATTCATTACAATTATATAACCACTAATCCATAATCTATTATAGATCCCTAATAGATTGTTTATTGCTTTAGAATGCCATTGGATCTTTGTTTAACTGATGGGCAAAATAACCCTCTAATTTCTCTACAAGGTTTCAATGATCGGTTAATGCAGCACATCAACATAGCCTGTCGAGTCATTATTCAAATTATGCATCTCATTTCATTTTTCCTAGGCTATTGAGTGAAGCAGAAGTGGGTAATCTTACAATTTCGTATTTTATATTTGCAGTTAATCAATCAAAATTTGAATTAATGAAGCTTAATTAATGCTCAATGTCCAAGTTTGACAACATGAAAAATTCCCGTATTTAATTCCCTTCTGTTATAGATGCCAATTTTGACGAGCTCGAGGTGAGCTGGGGACTAGAGGAAGAGCTATATACTTCAGTGTACATAGCTGTTGCAGCTTTAGCTTTGTCTAATTTCTGATTTAGTGAATCAATCTGCTGTAGCTGTTTAATTTTAATGGTGTTTCATTTCTGTGTATTTATTCATCTGTTTGCTGTAGCTGTTTTTTACATTATTTGCTCTGCTTCAGAAGTTGAGATCACTTATTAGGATCTGTTCATGTTTCTTTACTACAATCATGAAGATCTTCTTGAAATAATTCATGATTCATAGCAGAACCAAGCAAATTCAACAATTTGAATCTTCATGTATATTTTCCAGAGTTTCTTTCTACCATTGTCATACATTTTCTTTAATTTCTCTGAAATTTTAGCTCTAATTCATGTTTACTGGATTTAAAAAACTTGTAATTTTTTTCTTATCCAATTTGATTAGGCAATCAAGGAAACTGGTCAGAGGTTCCGAGACACCATTCTCGCTCTTGGAGGTGGGAAACCTCCACTTGAGGTAAGATAAACACGTGGCTTTATATCATCCTTATCCTGGGTTCTTCTGATATAAGTGTAGTGGAAAACAGTTGGGAAGGTTTACATGCTTACCTCTCAGGGTGTGTTTGGGGCAGCTTGTGTTTATATAGATAAGCAGTTTATCCTGAAACGCGGCCCGCGGGTTACCCGCGGGGTTCGACCCGTGACTTGCGTTTAGTATAAAAACCCAACCGCATTGTTGGATAAGCTGTTGAAACGGGCCATCAATTCGTATGTGTTTCATATCTAAGACCTAAACTTCAATTTTTACATATTTTCCTTTTTATTTAACTCTATGACTCTATTTATTTGGCTCCTTTGATCAGGTTTTTGTGGAATTTCGGGGAAGGAACCATCGCCTGAAGCCCTACTCAGACACAATGGATTGTTGCCTGTAGCTGCTTAAACTGCAACATTTTATGATTATGTTTTCCCAAAGGACCATCTATCAACTGCAATCAATATTTCAACCAAGTCCCATTCTATGCCTCTGTTTTAACTATTTATGTTGCGCTGCAAATAAATTGTTTGGGAAATTTACTTGCATCACACAATCCTTATGTATCAACATATTTAGCACCTAAAATTTCATATTTCATATTTATAATATAACATTCTATTGTCATAATTTAATGAATGAAGAATGTGTATTTCACTTGTAACAAAAATTATGAATGTGCTTTTCATTGTATTCAGGATGAATTGTTATGCGGTTTTTGATGTGCGTTGTTACACCGCCTTCGGGGGACATTGTGACACCTTATTCAATGTGTGTTGTTCTGAAATGTTGTGGGTGATGCACTACTTCATAGGGTGCTTATTGCATTAAGCAGAGGGTGATCGATGGTAGTCGATGATGGCCAACGAGCGGTGATCAATGGTGGTTGGCGGTTGCGGGAGCAAGAAACATTCGTCGGGTTTTCTGTCCAAAATCGCATTGGAATTTGATGAAGAGAGTAGGGCTCTATTTGATAAAGTATTGGAGAGGCCCTCCTGCAAGGAATAAATCTGGACCACTCCTTCGAATGGATTGGCAAAATTTCTTTGATTGGCAAAATTTCTTTGATCGGACGAAGTTTTGTAGATATATGTGTGCCTTATCGATGTCAATATATGGCGATCTTATGTTCGTCAGATTTGTTTTATCGAGATGCTGGATTTGATCACAAGTTTGTTAGATTTAAAATTCATTTGATCTTTCAACTAGTCATATAAAGCTTTCAAAAATTGTTTAACAACTTGAATTAGGTTTGATTTTATTCAGATTATACCAATTTCAGTGTTATTAGGTTCGTATTGTCGAGCTGGTCTATTTGCCTCTAAGTTTGTTGAAATTTTAGCTCTAAATGTTTTTTAATTTGAGTTTAAAATTTTGATTGCTTAAAAAATACTACGAAATTCATGCTAATCTTTTCGAGATTTCTTTCAAATGATCGGAGTTATTGATGAATCTCACTAACAATTTAATGTTATTTCATAAAAATTTCTTTATTTTTTCACATTAATTTAAAAAAATTAATGAAATTGAAATCACATTAATTTGTCAAATGACTTAAAAATTATGGAAATCTGCTCCAAAATGCGTGTAATAAAAAATTATTTATATAATTTTAAATATATGGCCGAGCAGTGGCTTATCTCAAAGCACGGCTACGTGGACAATAAATTATTTTAAATTTTCAATCATTGTATTGATATATTGATTGAAAATAAAATAAAATTATAGCTTTTCCCGGTCTTCTCTATCATGCAGAACATGAAATTATGCCACATAGACAAAATTTTATTTATTAAGACAAAATTGTATTTTTATTAATTTAACTTCAACAAATTTGCCTTTAATTCTTACATATTTACATTTTTTATATTTAAATTTGATATTTTTTTTACATTCATGTCACCCAATCTTTGAAATTACAAAAAACATATGCAATTGACCCAAATCACTACATTTAGGGTCTGTTTGGCGCAGCTGCAGTTTCTCAGCTTTTCAGCTGCAGCTGCGCTACCTCAGGAAGCATCCCGCAGGAAGCATCTGGGGGGAAGCAGCTGCGGGGAAGCTGGCTGTCTGTTTGGTGAAGCTGCGTAAAAAATGCTGTGGGCCAGCTGTTTCATGTAAAAATGATCAAACTACCAATGTTTGTTAAAACTATTTTTAATTTTTGATTTATTTGTATAAATATGAGTGTAATATACATAAAATTTATAAAAATATTATTTCTTAATTAATTAAATGAAATAAATTGTTTTTAATATTCGTTTTTATAGATAATTTTTAAAAAATATTTTGTAATTTTGAAAACATATAGGTTTAAAATTTATTTTTATCTATATATCAATGTATACAAATATTAATTCATCTATACATATAAAAATTTACAAACATATATTTTAGAAGCATAAAATGTAAAATATATAAAAGCAGCTCAAGCCATATGAAGTCGTGTTTTCATACATAAAGACGTAGGAAATCATACAGTTTCGTACATCCAAAATAGCCCAAAGTACATAAATACAACTCAACCACTAGC